CCACGTGTTCTCATCTCCTTCTCTCTCAGGTCAACCTCCTCATCCCATCCAACGACCTATATTCGCCCATGTTTCCATATATAGTCTTCCCTCGCGCTCTGCAAACTCTTGACTAAGCCAGAGCTTCCGGGTCTTCCTTCACCCTCGCTCACCCTCTCTCTTCCCACTCGAGCTTCACATGAAAGCCATGAGTGCTTCTCTCTTCAGAACCGGCTCTGGTCCGGTTCAGAAGCCGGTCTTTTCCGGTTTTTCCTACTCTTCTTTGTCCAGTCATGCTTCGCTCCCCCGCGATCACATTCCCCGTCGTTCTTCCTCGATTTCGCTGAATCTCCACTCCCCTGACCAGAGAGATACTCCTCCGAGGATGATCGACAGAGCGTTATCTGAAAGTGACGCGATTCGATCGGCTACTGAGAGTTTCGGTGTTTCCCGGAAGATGAAGCAATCTGGGTCACGTTCTTTTCCGGCCACTGTGTCGGGCGACGAAGTCCTATACGAAAGCGAATGGTGCGACATCGGAGGTAAGTCGAACTATGCCGGAGTTCGACCTGACATTGGAATCTTGACGGAGGAGTTTGGATTCGGTGGTGGAGTCGGAAGCGGGCGTGACGACGGGATCGCGACAGTCACCGGTGGAAACGATGGTGATAGGGTGAAAATAGGTGCGTACTATAAGGAAGTGCTCAAATCAAACCCAACAGACGCACTTCTGCTAGGGAATTACGGGAAATTTCTTTATGAGGTAACTTCTAGAATCTTCAATTTCCATAAGAATCTTACATGTGGATGATCTCTAAGTGAACCTATAATCATACGATCTACTGGCGCAGGTGGAGAAGGACGCTGTGAGAGCAGAGGAATATTACGGAAGAGCAATCCTTGCGAATCCCGGAGATGGCGAGTTGCTTTCTCTGTACGGGAAGCTCATATGGGAAACACAGAGAGACGAAGGCAGAGCCGAATCTTACTTCAAACACGCCGTTCATGCCTCCCCTAACGACTGGTATCTTACTTCTTCATCTTCTCCTTTAAAATATAAATTGGCTTTACAAATTTTTCTTGAAAACCGAACACGCAATAATAACAGTCACTTTCTTACTTGAAGCTCCATTTTGGGGTCCTATGCGCACTTCCTGTGGGAAGCAGAGGAGGAAGAAGAAGAAGATGGTGCAAACAGAATGGCGACGGAGGGGACAGCTGCTCGTTAATGACATGAATATGAAACAGAAAATTTGAGATGAAGTGAATGGCGGTTTGTGCAATATATGTAAGTGGCATTGAATATGAAAATAACCCAAGAGAAGAATAATTGGCGATGTATGTATCTAACTGGAAGCTCCAAGAACGGATCCAGAGGGTGAGGGAGTGATAATGAAAGTTGAGTGTCGTTTTCTGTTCCTTGTTTCTTTACGGCGGGCACCCTGTAACTCTGTTTGCAGATAAAATGTCGGTTGAACATTATCCCTTAGAGCGGCTTTTGAGGGTATAGAGATGTAAATTTTGTACCTTACAACTAATTTTTGTTGCATGTATAATAAATATAAATAACTAAGGAGTCTTAAGGGGCTTCCCGTTATTACTGATGAAGACGTTTCCATTGTGCCCTCTCAAGTTTTCTACTACTTCCATGATGAGGATTGGAGGTAGTTTCTCATTTTGATGGTCTATGTGGTAGATTTCATTGTCTCGAAGGAAAGTGAATGTTGAGATGCTTATCTATAGTTAAATGAGAGGAATACGCATGCTCCCAACAAAAATTAATAATATCTTCCAAAACAGTGGAACAAATTCAATAATCAAAGATATGATTTGAACTTTACATCCTGTTTGCTCTTATCTGAATTTGAATTTGAGTTACTGATTCGTATGATCTCTTGACCAATAATAAAATGGACTGGAGCGGATGAGATCGGGGAACTGGAAACGTAGGCACACGTAGAAGTCAAGGTCTAATTAATTTACAAAGTTTCCCTGCCAAACAAAATCAGATTAGAATCCGTATATAGTCAACCACAGCTTAATCATTATTCATAAACGCCTCCCTGATTGAAATGAAATAAATGCTTTCTAGCCTATAAAGATGGTTATCTGAATGATTTTGTTTTGCATCCTTACACAATACGTCATGCATATGACATTGAGTTCAATCCAAATGGGGCCATTATATTTTGTTTTAATGAACTGGAAACAGCTAATCAGCACATTATTAAATAAAATACCAAATATTAATCATGGCTAAGCATTTCAGAAGAAAACGACTTTTGTTTGAATTAGTCTATAATTCCAGTAAAAAGGATAATTCTACTACCTCCGTCCTTATTATAAGACTCTGTTTGACTTTTTGTTTGGTCCTAATTATAAGACCCCAATCCATTTTATCTCTCATATTTATGCATTTTTTTTCCAAAATAATCTTTCTAATAATGATAGTTCTAGCCAATATACTTAATTAGCAAGGATATTTAAGGAATGACAACACTTATTTATTACAAATAACTAATTTAACTTACTTCCTTAATCTCCTCAAATAAGTCAACAGGGTCTTATAATTAGGATCGGAGGTAGTATTAATTCCAAACAACAAGATAAAGCCGCGGAGTAGTCAAGTCCTTACGGTTGTTGTCACCCCGCAAAAAAAAAAAAAAAAAATCCCCGTGGTTGTCGTGTATTTTTTTGTTCCATTTCCAAAGTCCCTTCATGAGGGCGGTGTACCAAACGATGACAGTTGCACATGGTGGTTTGTTTCGTTGGCCTTCAATCCTGCACAAAATCAAATATATAAATGGGATGTTTAACATTTGTACAACCATGCATATTTACTTGGGAAAATTGTACCTTGAATTATTCGCAGATAGGGACCCTTGACAACTTTACTTTAGGTTTTGACAAGAATAATATGCCCTGAAGTTGTCAAACCTAAAGTGAAGTTGTCAATGGTCCCTATCTGCGTTTTTGCAATTCCAAGGTCTTTTTTACAATTTTCCCTATTTACTTCTATTTATCTTTTAATACAAACATTATATGATACTACCTCCGGTCCTAATTATAAGACCCAGTTGACTTATTTGAGGAGATTAAGAAAGTAAGTTAAGTTGATTATTTGTAATAAATAAGTGTTGTCATTCCTAAAATATCCTTGCTAATTAAGTATATTGACTAGAACTATCATTATTAGAAGGATTATCTTGGAAAAAAATGTATAAATATAAGAGATAAAATGGATTGGGGTCTTATAATTAGGACCAAATAAAAGTCAAACAGAGTCTTATAATAAGGACCAGAGGTAGTAGTACATTACTTTTTAATGGATAAGTTGAAAGGACGCTACTAACACCTTCCCACTTGTTCAACAGGGGAACAAATAATTGGGATGACATAAAATATCTGTTCTCAATTGTGGCTTCGTTCATTCGTGTTCGGCTATTCGGTCAGCTTTCTCTGTGGCGTGCATTTTCCATCATCCGATTAATCTGACGGATGAACTTGCTTAATTAGCAAAACAACGTCGTTTTGTAACAAAATCCCCAAATTTGAGATGGGTGGGAGTGGGAGACGAGTGAATGACGAGTGTTTAGATTCCTTTCATGATGGGTGGGGTTACTACTTACTAGGAAGTTCCTTGTTGCGTTTTCGAAGCAAAGAATGAGGAATCAGATTTTGATGTTTATGACTTTTGCTGATTTCAGAATGAGCACTATTAGGAGTTCTGGCCCAAGTATGACTTTTTTTTTCCCTTAATAGAATAAAATTTATATGAATTAGATCCGGAAACTCACCAGGATCAAGATATGCTTTCAGATTTAGAGAATACTTTTAAAAATACTTACAAATTGCCTCCTAATAAAGTTATCATATCAGTAGTGAGATTTAAACTCATGACTTTATGAGTTATAAGTCAATTTTTTACTAATTAAACCAATTTTTATCAGTGGTCCAAGTAGGACTTAGGAGTTATATTCCTGGTAAACATATACCCAGACAACCCATTTTTAAAAGATGGCCCAATAACATGTGAAGGTAGGCATAACTTTTTCTTACACCACGTACGCTGCGAAAGGAAGATTAATGTCAGTTAACTACTGCAGGAATTATTTATTTTGCATCTCTTCAATGCAAGTCTTTATGATGGCACTGTGAATTTGAAGTGGATGGCTGGCCATCGCTCAGCAGCTCAACGGTCCATCTCAGCTTCCATGTAAATTTTATTTTCAAATTCTTCCAATTTTTTCCCCAAAATTTAAGCATGATTTAAATATTTGAAAAGTGGGATCGATAATTAGTTTGTGGAATGGGGGGGGGGGATCCTAAAAGCACCACAAGAGTTACTGTTTGTGATGGGTGCTCCTTTAGGACCGTTATGGATATAAAGAGTTACTTTCCACAGGCATCAAGTCTGTGCTAGAGAAGTTACTGATAATCTTTGGATGAAGGAAAATAACAGAAGAATATGGAACCACAAGGCACAAGAAAAGGCTGGCCCCTGCAACTGCAATACTATGACTTGCTCTTGCTCATCAGTGTGGGCACCACTGAAACAATCCCAATAAGAAACAATGTAGCGATTGAGCTGAAATCATACAGATCCCTCAAAGCTTTCAACTCTCCCAGAGCTAACCCAGCCTGCTTCCACGACAATGTGAAACTACATCAATCATATCTCCTGTTGTATAGTTCTGTTATTAAACTTTTCATGACAAATTAGTTGTATGATTTTTGCCCATGAGTAATTTTTAGTTAGATACATGATGTGGGGGAAAAAAAATCAAATGGCTTCGTACCCTAACTGCGACAAAAGCAGCTGGTATGAGTCCCACGAAAGTTCCCAGGAAAAATATATGAAAAGGCACGTCCACCACGGGCGAAGCAACATTTATGAATGTATGAGGCAACGTTGGAGTCAGTCTCAGAAAAAGCATATAGTTCAACAAATTCTCCCTTCTCCTTTGCCACCTACAACTCAAAAGCACAACTTAGTTTCCATGTCTCGATCTCGCTTAGATTCAATAAACACTCACAGAGAGATGGGGGAGTTTGGATTTAACCTGGTTTTGGAAGAACTTGAGCTTGTCTGGCCAAAGAGACAACACAATGGGCCGACCAACGAGTTTTGACAAGAAATAGCAAGAAGAAGCTCCTACTGTGGCAGTGCACACGACCAGAACTAAACCTTTGAGGATCTCAAAGAGAGCTCCAGCAAGCAATGACAAGAACACAGTCCCAGGAAACATCAAAGTCTGCATGAAAATATAAACCAAGCAGCACCCCACCAGCACTTTTGCAGTGTACTCACTCGTATACCTCTCAAGGTCGTCTCTGCAACAGAAAGATCATAGTACCACATATGTTATCAACTTAGTGGCTTACCGCTCAGCACTCTTCATATTTTACCCCTGTGAGCACAATTGGCTAAATATTTATATATGGAGAAGAGGCAACATTATGTACAAAACAGAGTCAAAGTTACGTGCGTATTTCGAAATGATGGCAGCTACCATCACTTTATTCTTGGTTTGATGTTATCTTTTCTTTTCCCCTCCTTTTCTTGAATCACAGGTTAAAGTTCAACTCAAGCGTATTATTATTAACAGCTTAGATGATTATCCGCCCCATGAATTGTACTTGCAGTAAATGCTTTTCATTTGAAGCTGCTGAATATCAGGATCTATGCCTAGCATTTTTACGTCTTCCATTTTCCCTGTGAGTACTGAAATAGGAGAAAGAAAAGAGCTTAAGCGCATTGTTCCAAAATTGATCCTTCTTCGCTACATTATTCTCCACATTTTGAACGGAGGAAAGATGGGATTATGCAAGGAATCACTCGTCCGAGTACAACCCCAAACTCACCTAAATGATGGTTTTGTGCCCAAACGGTTAAAAACAAACTGTCTCTGTAAATCAGATAAAACGTACCAGCAGAACCAAGCTTACAAGTTAATACAGAGGGAAAAGCTACCGACGAAGTTATAATTACTAATGTTGGAACAATTCGCGGTGAGGGAGTGAAATCTTGAAACGGAAAATAGAATGAAACAGTTGCCGGAGGAGCTGGAGATCTTGGAGGGTACGAGGGAGCTTGAGGAATGTGTAATCAGAATCAGGCATGGTTAGGTAAAGGCAGAGAAGGCCTATGACGAAGGCCATGACCAACGTTGAAGCCGCCGCCGCTTCCCCTATTGTCATCTGTGAACCCTTTTCCACCTTCTCGCTACTTCTGCCACAAACTCGTTGGAGCATACCTGGTCACGGGTCTCTTGATACTGTTTAAATTTTGTCTTTTTTCTGGTCCAAAGAGATTCTATCAGTGAAAAAGCAAAACCAGAGTCATTCGAAACAAAATAAAGATAACAAATCAAAGATACTTCTGATCCTCCGTCCAGGAAGGGAGTAAAAGGGGATGGGGCACCAAAGCCCAATCTCCTTAACGGCTGCAAGAACAACCCACTGAAAGCTATACTGGCTTAGTGATTGACCAAGATTAATGGAAGTATCCACGATGGTCAAGCAATCCCCTGTTGGGCATAAAAGATTGTTGCCAAACAACTCAACTAGAGGGGGGAAGATCAGAAGACACAACAACGAACCTTACCTCACCAAAATGCAGTCTTCAAAACCATCCTCCTTAGTTCCAGATTAGGCCTATCAGAGCAAAATGAAACCAAGTTTCTTTCGTCAGACACTTTATTCGATTGGGTTGTCTCAACCCACCCAGATAAGGTCAAGAACATTGTCATCTAGTTTAATTCATTTCACCTCCCTTGTAGTTTCTGTTGGCAAGTAAAGCTCCTTTAAGTTGAGGTGGTATGAATTTAAGGGGCGAGTTGCAGACATTAAATCATAGTAGTTGGTTAACATCTTGTGTTAATTAGTTTCTTTTTTTTGACCTGACTTGTGTTAATCAGTTAAGATCATATATGAATGAGTTAAAGACCAGGTCTGTTGATAATATGTTGTGTAAAGCTCAAGCTTCACTGAAGAAAACAGATGAAGAGGTACATTCTTCACAACGGAGATTAACCTTTCTTGAAAAATCTCCACTTTGAGCGGATACTTCTGTCGTCACCGCGAAAATGTCGGCAGAAAAAGTCTTGCGCCTTCTAGTGAACCTTGGAATGCTTTTTAGATACTTAATTGCCTTTTGATAACAGATCCTTAATTGTTTCAGTAAATGAGCTTTTAGTATGTATATGTATTGTTGAGCTCCTAATTTTTCTGAAGAGTTTTCGATTTTTGAACTCTGCAATGTTTCAGATAACAAAAGCATCTTATTCTATAACCATCTTTTTACTTTTAGCCAAGGATTCCATTGGATCCTTCAGCGTCATTTTAGATTAAGGTTCTTAACTATCATTATTTATCTTGTCAAGCATTAACTATCATCCTCCTTATTTAAACTATAATGTTACTGTTTATTAAATAAAAAAGTTTCATTTTCTTTTTTATTTTTCTCATTGGCAAATGAAAGTATGAAACAGAGAGGCCCTCTGGTCAAAAACAAAACAAAAAAAAAAAACAGAGAGGGCCAACATGATCGCATGCACCCTGATGATTAATTCCTTTGACGGAGAGTTGGTCCAATCCCTTGCAATTTACGGATTTATATTGGGTGCTCATCAGATCTGAATCGTCCAAATCTGATCTAGACGATCCAGATTTATTTTTATTTTTTAAAAATAATTATTTTAATAGGTATAGGATAAAAAATAAAGATAATTTCTTAACTATCGTTCTTTAAAAATATAATTTTTTATTTTAAAATAATTATTTAATAATATTAAATCTGGACCGTCTAAATTAGATCTGAACGGTCCAAATTGCTCATTACCTGATAAGCACCAAATGGGGACCCCACAATTTACCCCTCTTTCGGTTTTTTTTTTTTTTTTTTGGTTTTGACTATTTTCACTTGGTTTTAGAATCTTTCGTCTTTCCTTCTCCTCGTTTTTTCTCATCTTTCTTTTTTTAACTCTTAGATTAATATTTCAACTGTTAAGATTTAAACCTTTTAAAAAATATTATTAATTTATTAAATTATAAAAATAAATAAATAATAAATTAGAAACTATATTAAAATTTAATTCTAATGGTTTGCAAATGTACTAGATATTTTAAAAAAATTATAAATAGTTTATAAAAAATTGAAATCTGAACTATTGAAATATGTTAATCCGATTATTAGAGAAATGAAGAGGAGGGGAGAGGATACGTTCCAAACAGGTTATAACTTATTCCTTTGATCCTATTTATAAGGCACTTTTAATATATTTTACACAGATTAAGAAAAATCTTAAACTGGATTAATTATCTATCAAAATATAATAACATTTCAACTTTACCTCTATATAATATATATCTTTAAAAAAAAGTAATTATCTACACTATAATAAATGAAGGATAAAATTAGGACTGCACATGGGTTGGGCAGAGCGAAACCCTTGCACGATGCCCAACCTGAAAAATGAACGGGTTAGAAAATGCAGCCCGTTACCCAGCCCTGTCCATGAAAAGGCCTATTAAGTTCGGGCTGGGCAGGGCAGGCTTCGATGCCCAACAAGTCAATATATTATATTAATTAACTAATTATTTATGTTCCTCTAAATAATCTAACGTAGCTTTATATTAAAATGGCAACTTAGCTTTAATTTTGTTATTACTAATTAATATACTAGAAAATTACTTTTTGTAGTAGCTAGGAGAAGTGGACTATAACAAAAAAAATATTGTTTGTATATTTTATTAAACTTAATTGTTTTTCTAGTTTCTAACTCTTAAAATCATTCAAAAATAAATAAGTATAATGAACATTGACTATTAATGCAACAATATGTTTGATTCAGAAAATAAATATGAGGCAAATAAAATAATATATATTTTTGCGGGCAGGGCCAAATAGGCAGGGTAGCATACCGTGCCCGATGCCCAACCTTGTCCAACAATTTGCCCAGTCCAAACATGCCCAATAATTCTTTTGGGCCATTTTTTTAAGGGCGGGCTTGGGTGGGCATTACGGGCAACTGGGCTTCATGAACACCCCTAGATAAAATAGTGCTTCCATGTTAAAAATTTAATGAAGCAACTTATAAATAAGACCAATCTTCTCTCTCTGCCTTATAAATAAAACAATAAGAGTGGTTTTTAAATTTGGTAACTATAACTCAACTTTTAAACTTTAACTTTAATCTCTATAATTTTAAACATTTGAAACTTTTTTCCCTATATTTTTAAAAATATCATAAAATTTAGGGAACTAAATTTTAAGTAATTAAAGATATAAAGATTGGATTATAATAAATCAAAGTTTAAAAACTGAGTTACAATAAGTTAGAACAGGTCTGAATGGCATCCAATTAAAATTTAAAAACAAAGTTACAATTAAGTTAAGATTATAAAGACCAAAAGAATAATTTTAAAATAATACGAAAAGGCCAGGCTAAAAGCAGTCACTCTTGAGAGAGTGCGTAATAGCTCCCTGATCAAGTATTCTTGCACCGAAAATGAATGGGACTAGGTTGAAGCTCTAGGATGTAAAAATGCTTTATACTACAAATTTGTATAATATAATCAAATTGAACATGAATTTTTTTGTTTTGTTTTGGGACTCAAAAACATGATTGGTTTGGATGCTCTTCAATGCGCTTTCATTGCAATTCTTGATCACTCACATCAAATTCAAATAGAACAAATTGGCTTGTGCTTTTAAAAATTATTAAATCTAAATAAATAAAAAATCAATCCAATAGTCCAGAGTTACAGCAATAAGTGGAGAAAAGCCACTCCCCTCCCCCCCCAAATATTGCTTTACCTGAACCTTTATTAAAAAAAGATTTCAAATTCAAAGTTCTATAATCTAGATTTTAGGGGGCATAAGATAAGAGCACGTGTTTTCTGCCCAAAAGGAGAAGAATCCAATCCATCCAAATTGATCCAAAAGTAAAAGACGGGGGAATCCTGATGCTACATACATTTCGTTGGTCACCATTAATACAGCCCCCACAATTCAGCTATCCACATTTTTTCTTCGGGGCTTGGGCCACCCAATTTGTCTGTGCTCCCCTTTACATCTCCATTCCCATCTTCTCATTTCTTTTGTCTTTACTTTTTATTCAGTTTCGTAACTGAATTCTTATTTACTTTCTATGTTTTATATGTTTTATAAAATAAGATGACACATTTCATGAAGCTTGGGGACTAAAATTTTAAGTAAGGACTGGATTATATATAGTGAATTAAAGTTTAAAGACCGGAATTCAATTAAATCAAATGATCTTAATTGCATCAAGTTAAAATTTAAATATTAGGTTATAGCAGAGTCAAAACAATAGGAATTAAAATATTAATTTTGAGAGAATTGCAGTTAAGTCCTAAAAAAGAAAACAATTGTTATAAAGTCTTAATAACAATTAAGCAGCTTATAATGACAAGTTTCATAGTAAAAAAAAATAATTTCTTACTTGTCATTAGGACTTTTTGATAGTTACTCCTCCGGTCTTTAATATGAGACTTGTTTAACTAATTTGATTAGATTAAAAAAATTAGATAAGTTAGTTAATTATAAGAAATATGATATATATTTTTTAAAATACCATAATTATCTTTTTTAATATCTCATCTCCCTCTTCTACTTGATTGTGGTTGAGGGAGATTCATAAGAATAATTTAAAAAAATTAATAAATATGAGAAATACGTTTTATATTTAGAATCATAATCAATTTAATAATTATGTCATGTATTAAGGGTCGGAGAAATTTTTTTTATGGGCCTCTATTGCAATTCTCCCATTAATTTGCCCAGAGTTAAAATGCATTGACTCCGAAGGCTTGCCAAAATTAGGGTAGGTCTCACTCTACTCCAAGCTATCACGGTGTATGAATAGTATTTTTGTCAATTAGACCAACTTTGACTGCTGTCATAAATTCATACGCACGCATAAAAATATGAATTTTAAATTTGTATGTGACCCCAATTCAAGCTTCCTTTTTTGGATAATAAATAAGTTTAGGCAAATTGGATCTTATATTAGAACTAAAATATATTTTCAGACTCAGAAAATATTTACAGAGGTGAAATGAATACCTAGATTTTAAAAACATCAATCTAAATTAGAAGAATTCAAGTGCAAGGCCGAAATAGAATGGAGCGTTATGGCGGCAAAAATAGTAACATTAATTGATAAAGATTTCACGATTGAAGAAAATGAATAAGTACAAAGAAAGGCAGGAAAAAAAAAAAAATCGGAGGATTAGGAATAAAGCAAAGAAAGATCTATAAATTGGGAGACACAAAAGGCCCAACTGATTGTGACTTTAATGGTCGCCAGCATCATCGGATTCAA